CCCCAAAACCCCAAAACCCCAAAACCCCACTTTAATAGGATAAAATATCAAGTCGAGCAAAAGCAAGATATCAATTAACTATAATAAATCATACCTTCACCTTCTAAGCCTTATCAATCAGTCTCTCAACATAATCAAGCATAAAATTTGAGATAGTTTTAGTCTAATCAGACATCTGAATGTAATGTCCTGTGAATTCCATCTGCATCGTAAAGAATATCTTAGACCCAGTCACCTCGTTCTTCTCGTTGAACAAAGCACCACGTATAACAATCCCACATAGATTGTGAAACACTCTCGCATATTTCTTGGTCTTAGTTTGCAACTATATTCACAAGTGTTATAATGATCTAGGAAGTACTTACATGCTCAAGACCCTGAGTTGTGAAGTTAATCATATAAATCTGGTTTTTGTCATCACACTAGATTAGTCTACGGTGTAGTACTTCCCGATTGTTCAGAGGGTAAGAGCCCTTATAGATAGTTGAGAAGATTTCACTGCCATCTTGGGCTACTTGCTTGAATTTAGACTGAATCTGCTTTCCAAACCAGGATGAGATTTGCTCTTGGTTCTTAAGCACTTCAAAGAGCTGCTTAGGAGTCACTTTATCATAGAGAGCATCAACTCTGAAGATCGGATTTTCCACATCATCCTTTTACAGCACTATTGCGTTATATTCAAGTTTTTCCTTTATAATTCTAAATCCTTCTGGCTAATTCTCTTCTTATTGCAGCTACTCAAATAATGCAGCCCTAACATACATTCATCAAGGGACTTCTAACTTACTTATTTATGGGAGTATTAGATTGTTTCAATGAGACCATTGAACTGCTGGCCAAAGGTGCAAAGCTACTCTAGGGATTTATTTTATTGCCTCCAGGAGTCTCCAAGCCTTCAACAGTAGAAGCCTATTTGGTCATATTTTAGTTCTGTATATGTGCATTCCTTCTTTGCACCACTTTCCTTCTCTGATATGATATCTTCTCCTCTAATTGCTAAAATTATTCATTAGTTACCATCACATCATAATTGAATAAATGTAATTTGAATAATAAGGCGAGTATACTTACATCTTTAAGGCCTTGCATGAAAGTGAAAAATATAAAGAGTAGAAACAGGAAGAGACAGAAGTGTGCGAATTCACTGTCATTATGCTGATTCCTGAATATGAACTCAAACAGTGTAGCGATTCTCATTTTATCTCTCTCAAATTTATAATATTATTGTAATTAAGTATACTATTTTAATAATTTCAAAGAGCAGTCGTGGGGTTTTGGGGTTTTGGGGTTTTGGGGTTTTGGGG